TGATTGTCATTTCTCTCCTTATGTCAGCGACACACTGTCTTGACTACTGTAGCTTAGAAATTGGGAAGGATAAGTTCTCCAACTGTATCTTTGTCAAGATTATATTGGCTATTCTGGGTCCCTTCAATTTCTATATAAATTTTAGATCAGCTTTTCAATTTCTGTAAAGAAGCCATCTGGGATTTTAATAGGGATTTCTTCAAATTTTAATCAAGTTGGGGGAATATTGCCATCTTAAAAATACACAAGCTTCTCATTCATTAACACAGGATGTCTTTCTATCTATTGGGGTGTTCTTTAATTTCTTTCAATGATATTTTGTATTTTCAGTGGACACAATTTGGACATTTTCCTTAAATTATTCCTAAGTTTTTATTCTTTTTGAAACCATTATAAATGGAATTATATTCTGAACTTCATGTCTGAATTGTTCACTTCTAGTTTGTAGAAACATTGATATCCTTACTGAACTGGTTTATTAGTTCTAATGAGTTTTTTTGTAAAATCCTTAGGATTTTCCATATAAATAAGATCATATAGCTGGTTGTGGTGGTTCACGCCTGTAATCCTAGCACTCTGGGAGGCCTAGGCTAGAGTAGATTGCCTGAGCTCACAATCCCTAGGGTAGATTGCCTGAGCTCACAAGTTCTAGACCAGCCTGAGCAAAAGTGAGACCCCCGTCTCTACTAAAAATAGAGGAAGTGCGTTGGAGGTTGCTATGAGCTATGATGCCAGGACACTCTAACCAGGGCAACAGCTTGAGACTGTGTCTCAAAAAAAAAAAAAAATCATATATATAGAATGTATCTAATCTATGTGTACATATCTTGCATACAGGAATCCATACATAAGATCATGTAATCTGCAAATAGAGATAGTTTTACTTCCTCCTTTCAGTCTGGATGCCTTTATTTATTTTTCCCTTTTCCTATTTGCCTTAGCTAGAAAAAGAATTTCTTGGGAGCAATGTAAGGAAACTGATGTTTGTTGAGTCTATTGATGCCATTTATGTACATATGCCAGAACAAGTGGAAGGATAGACACTCAGAGGTTTGCGGTCTCTTTTCTATTTGCAAATCTGTATCTTCCAAGTACTGTAATTTTAATTTTTTGCTTGTTTCTGGTTAGAATGTTCAGTTTCTTAATTATCTTCTAAGAAGTGAGTACACCTGCACCGTGAGGGCAAATGGCCTGGTGGCGGCTTCTCTACGGAATCTTCCTCCTTGGGAATGTGCCAAGGCCGCAGAAGTCTCAGTGTATATGAAGGTGAAATGCCATTGCTCGGTCAAGTCCAGAACTCCAAGAACTCCTTGCAGCTGACGCAGTGACCGGGGAGAGGAGGATGTGATGCGAATTCAGGAGAAGAACGCAGCTGGGTCAACCGGCTTGGCGCCTCGGGAGGCGGACTCTGTTTAGGGGCGGGGCGCGGGCCTGGCCCGGGCTCGCGCGGCGCGCATGCGCGACCAGGGGGCGGGGCCGGGCCCGGGGCGTGGCTGCGCGCGGTGTCCGGAGAGGCGGCGGCGGTGGCGGCGGCGTCTGGGTTCGGGCTGCCGAGCGGGCGGTGTGTTAGCAGTCAGTGCAGACGACGCGGGCCGGGGCAGGAGGACTGGCACCTGAAGCCGGACTCGCAGCTCTTGACTTCACGATCGGGCGGCGGTGCTGCTGCTGCGGGACTGGGGCGCGCGACCGGGCGGGACGGAAGACTGCAGGACAGCTGGGCGGCGGGCGCCGCGGGCTGGGGCGCGCCAGGTAGGTGGACCGGGCTGGGGGCGACACGGCAGCTGCAGGGACCCGGGGGCGGGAATGGGCTGCGGGCGCCCGGGGTGAGTCCCGTACCCGCTGGGCCGGACCGGGACAGCGCCGGTGGTTGTCATGGAAATCGCACAGCCTAGCGGTTCACCTGCGGTGGCGTCTTTTAAGAATAATCCAAGCCTGGCTGACTCCCAGCCGGATGAAGACCCGGCCGCGCCGGGATGGGGGCAGGGACCGAGGATTGGTGGCAGGGACCTCCGGGATGTTGGACGCGGCGCTCCAAGCCCAGGTCGCGGCGCCTGCCGGGTGCGTCTCCTGGGCTGGATATAGTGACTCCTGAGGCTGAAGGCCTTGCAGTGTTTTGGGTGTAAACATAACCGAATAAAAGTGAACATGCATCTCAGTGTAGGAAATCCGGACTCCATCCTCATCCTTCCCTTTCTGCCGGACTGCTTCAGACAACCTGTCTCGCATCTTTGCTTTTTATATTCTATTTCTCTATGGCTCTGCTAGTCAGTTAATTGAGGCCTGAGAAATTTGCAGGGTCTGTGGCTGTGTCTTAAAAAGCCAGTCCATGAATGGTAGGCCTAGAAGATTGAGACACTCAAAATGTCAAAGGTAAATTTATGTCTTTGTGGGCGAAGGAAGGGAGCGTTGATGGGCCGGCTTCCCTCCCGCTTGTCGACTGCCCTCTGACATTACATAATGATATGTTCTTCCTCCCTGGAGTTCATCCATAATGACAGATCATGAAAATATTCCTCTGCATAAGAAAGAAGTATAGGCGGTTAGTTGTAGAGCTCCTCTTGTCTTTTGCTTTGCCACTGAATGTGTTTTGTGTTAGGAGGCTGCCTAAGAGTAGAATTTGATTTGTCACCTGCCCCTTAGGGCATAGACCCAGGGAGTGTTGGGTGGGGTGACAGTTCGAATGTTGCAGTGAAATTCTGCCTGGCTTATCTGTTCACAGTGGGTTTTGTGGACCCTGGGGAACCCGGTTGGGTTGGGGACAGAGCAGGTTGACCTTGGTGTAAATCCTGGTTCTATCGCTTGCCAACTGTGGTTCTCAATGTTCTCATCTCTAAAAGGCAAGAACAGAACCTCCTTTGCTGAGTTTGTTTTGGAGTCTAAATGCTGTTGGCATTGGTCAATGCATATAGAGTAGCTGTAGGTTATCCTAGAATTAAGCCTAAATTTTCTTTGGTGGAAAACAGGCTTTCTTTAACAGGAATTCTATTTTTGGATTTAGGCTAGGTCCTTTGTTTTAGGGGTTGTTTTGCTGAAGTGTTTACTCCTAGAAGATTTAATTCACTGTTTTCTTTGAAGAAAGATGAATGATGGGGCTCGTGTCAGAAGGTCAGCATGGTTTTCCTGTTGGAGATTATCAGGAGACTACAATGCGGTCCCAAGGGTAGCATTGCATGCGAATGGAGCCTCCCAAGACCTCATTCCCGTGATGTCTTGTAAACACATCTTTGAAGCCAAAGTTACTAGGATGATTTGGCTTGAAGACAGAGCTTAAAGGAATGGATGCTGGACAGAGTCAAAGAGAAATGAGCACTGTATTTCCTCTAAGCTCCTTGACAGGATCAGTTGCACTTACCTGGCCACTTCACTTATAGAGCTACTTTTTATTTGGCATATGCTGTCTTAGAGTGTTTATCTGCTCAGGTAAGTCTTGTTTCCTAGCTAGACTTGGAGCCAAGAACAAACATTATTATTTATCTCACTTTGGTATTGCTGTTGAGCTAAATATTAGGGTTTTTTTTAAAGCTCTTTAAAGAAAGGATGAAATGAAACAATACATTTGAGAGCTTTCTGTAAACTAGAGAGCACCAGAGAGATGAGATGTGTATTACAGAGAACTCCTGGGCCTGCAAGTCCCTTTAGCCAGTGCCTGCCGAGGTGCATTCTCAGCCAGCGTTTCTGTAACTGTACATACAGATGGACCCCAAAGGCACTGTAGGATCAACAGATTCCTGATCCCCACGCCAAGGCTTAACTTGTCAAGAATTCAGTCAGGCAGAGTGGAGGGGAAGACTTTTGAGCAAGACTGTTTCATCCTGTTTTTGAATTTTAGTGAAAAACTCCTTTTTAGCTTATGTATTCCCGAAAAGTTCCCATAGCATCATCAACTACTCATAGTGTCAGGAGGCTTTGACTTTCACTGAGAAAAAAATAGCACACGTCTTCAGTGAAGAAGGGTTGATTATGTCGGTGCTTCTTTTGTAGAACTTGATTAATGAGCTAGTCTCAAGAGATCCTTCAAAACAGCTTTTTTTTTCCCTTCTTCTTTTTTTTTTTCTTCTTCAATGTCCTGGAATAGAAGCTCTGTGAGGAGAGCATCTTTTGGGGAGACCAACACTAACACCTCAGCAGACTGTTCTTCATTTTGTCTTTCTGTGCTGTTAAGGGAGATGCCATCAGGAAGCTAATCTTGCAGAATTTACACGTGTTTCTGTTAATATACACACCTTGCTCCCTTTGATTTTTTTTTTTTTTTTGATGTATTTTGATGTGATTTTAGACTCACAGAAAAGTTGCAAGAATAAGCCAAGGAATTCTCAGGTACCCTGTCTCCAGATTCTGCAAATACCGACATTTTGCTCTACTGCTTTAACCATCTCTCATATCTATGTATACGACTGCTTTTGTTCTGAATCATTTAATAGTAAATTGTAGACTAGATGACCCTTTACTTCTGAATACTTCTCTGTGTGTTTCCTAAAAAACAAGTACATTCTCTTATATAACAACAGCACAATTATTAAAAATCAGGAAATTAATGTTGATACCTTGCTATAATTTAGTGTACAGGTCTTATTCAGATCTTGCCAATTGCCTCAATAATGTCCTTTATGATTAGCAAGATAAAATCCTAGATCATTCATTTGGCATTAAGTTGTTCTGACTCTGTAGTGTCCTTTAATCTGGAACAGTTCCCAAGTCTTTCTTTGTATTTCATGGCATTGACAAATTTGAAGACTACTGACTTTTTTAGATAATGTCCCTACATTTGGGCTTCCTCATGCTTAGATTCATTTTATGCATATCTGGCAGGAGCAGTGTTACTGCTGCAGTCTTAGCCTGTCCCCTCAGGAAGCACATGCTTTGAGTATCCCTTCACTGTCCTTGCTAACTATGATCACTCCCGGAAAGGGGTGTGTATCTCATTGAGAAGTTACTATTTTTCCCTTTAGAATTAATATGTATCTCATAAGAAGAGAATTTGAGACTATGTAAATATGCTGTTGCTCCTCATAATTTCACCCACTAGTTTTAGCATCCACTGATGCTTCTTACGTGTATCAATTATTATGTGTTGACAGGTGGTGATTTTCTAATTCCATATTTCCTTCTACATTTATTAGTTGGAATTGTACTGAAAGGGAGAACTTTATGTTTTGTTTTACATCTTTGGAGTCATGAATTATTTGCTTTCTTCAATAGGTTATGATCTGTTTTTCTCATTATTCATTTTTATTGCTCAAATTGTCCCAGATTTGGCTACCAGTAGACCCTTCAAGCTGGCTCTTATGTCCTTTTGACATGTGCCTACCATTCTTTGAAGACTTTTTTTCTTTCTAGAACAAAATTTTCAAGAGCTAGCTTGTACTTTCCTTGCCTCAGCCTAGGAATCAACCATTTCCCCATAGAGACCTACCTGGTTCCTTTTAGTGGAGAATGATATTAAAAACCAAGAAGCAACCTTTAGGCTTAAAGGAACAGCCTTACAAGGCCCCTTTAAGTGTGACACTTTTTTCTTTTTCTTTTTCTTTTTTTTTTTTTTTTTTTTTTTGAGACGGTCTCACTCTGTTGCCCGAGGCTAGAGTGTTATCTGCCTAGCTCAACTACAGGGCTCAAGTGATCATCCTTCCTCAACCTTCTGAGTAGCTGGGACTACGGGCATACAGGCACCCACCATTGGCTAATTTTTCTATTTTTGGTAGAGACAGAGTCTCATTCTTGCTCAGGCTGGTCTTGAACTCTTGAGCTTAAGCAGTTCTCCCTCTTCCGCCTTCCAGAAAAATAGGATTACTGTGCATGGCCTGACACAATTTTTTATTCTAAAGGAGAAGGAACCTAACTTCTGAGCATGCCAGGCCTGGGTCAGGTGTCCCTAGACATCCTCTCTGAGGGACTGTCAGGAGGTGAACTAGGGTGTTGAAGATGGTGCTGAGGTGACGGGTGGTTAGGGCACCCACCTGGAAGTGGCTGTCAACTACCTGGGTTTAAACACAGGTCTGTTTGGATCTAGTGCCTTTTCCATTAAATCACATAACTTCCTCCATAGCATTTTTAAATAAATCCTTTACTTTATGCATCAAGATAGGGGTGAAAATTAATTACCCAGACTGTCCAATTTCAATAATTTCTATTTTTAGTATATATATATATATGTATATATATATATTTTATAAATCAGGAACTTCTTTTACTTAATTTTGTTTGCTGGACATATACCTCTTTCAAAAGCATTTACTTTATTCCTATAACTATTGTGAGCCTCCAACTAGCTGTGTGACTTTGGCCAAGTAGCTTAATCTTTCTGTGCCTCAGTTATCTCATCCACAAAATTGTGCAGATAATGGTCACAGCCCCAGAAGCTGCTGGGTGCTGTTCCAGAGGCTTGTTGGGGGATTAAATGAATTAACATAGGTCAAGTGCTTGGAGAGGCGCCTGGCATAGGAATAGGAACTGTTATGATGAGTTCATATACAGAGCATGTGTGGTCAGCAGGGCCTCCAATTAGATCAGCCTTTTCTCTGTGGGTTTAATCTCTTAACTGCCTCTTTCATCATAACCTGACTGGGGACGGGGAAGCTGGGGCCCTGGGTGTGGCATGCATGTCTCCTCTTCTGGTCTTTGCATACACCTTCATCGTGCCCTATCAGGCTACTGGGCGTGGGCCTACCTGCCAGCCCAGCTGGCCTCTGGTGTTTGCATGTAGCCCCAACCTGGGGTAAGTGTGAGACTGTGGGTCTTTTAATATGGAGTCT